TACCTAAAATCAAAATACATTACAGTTATGAAAATAAAAAGAGGACAATACATAAAAAAATAGAGAGGCCTAACTCTTATTACATTAAAATACACCTACAGCTAAAAGGCTTAGTACTTTTTTCTTTCATCAAAATACATCATAGCATACATAAAAAAATGTAAACCTGTTGATGATTAAAATAGGGAAATAATGACTTTAAAAATTCTAAAAGACTGGTTATCCATATCCACAGCATCAAATCAACTACAAGAAAGCAGAATATCCCTAACATGTTCCTTGCCCTACATTCTTAACTTCAATGAAAGGTTTTAGGTCTACCAAGTCTACAGTTCATTAGTAAAACCTAATGTTTGCAATGAGTCAATTGCAAACATAATTACTACATCTTATGTGAATGGAAATAAAAATAAAAATAAAATATATTGTTAACTCTGGCATCTATAAACAAAACCCATCTTGGCGCTTAAAAAGTTATGTAAAATGTCCATATTTGGAGTCATATGACATAATGGCAATGAACTATCTTGCTATGCTACAATCTAAACCAAGTTCTGACAACACATTCTCATTCCATCCATACAACTGATGTCCAACTATGATAGACAGACATGCAATCAATCTATGTCTGATGTTTCAACATATGACAAACTAATGCATTCCTCTGAGAGGAACGGTATGGACATTTAGAACAAGTGTATGGCTTCTCTCCAGTATGAATACGAATGTGAACTTGAAGACTATCCTTCCGAGAAGCACGAAAGGGACAGTAGGGACAGTTAAATGGCTTCTCACCAGTGTGGGTGCGAACATGTAACTTCAAGTTGTCTTTTGATGCAGCACTGTAGTTACAGTATGGACATGTAAAAGGTTTCTCTCCAGTGTGCGTACGAATGTGCTTTGTTATGTGGTCTTTCCTAACGGTGGAATATTTACAGTATGGGCACTGGTGCATCTTGCCGACAGCTCCTCTCCCGCTATTCCTCGAACCATCACTGTTCAGTCCCACCTGTCGGGAACGCCTATCTCAATTATCATCATCATTAAAGAACTACCAATTGAAGTTACAAAGAAATTCAGAACATTAAGCAGACAAATGACTACATTTGCTTTACATGCTGTCATGACTAGACACATTTTTGGTTCGGGGAAAAATTTCTTTTTTGTTTAGAACTGACTTATGCATTCAAGTCTTTTGCCCAAATAAGGAGCTTCTTATCAATGTAGCACCAATAGCACAGCATTAAAACATTACAACATCCTACAACACACCATAAACCTTGGCTTGCCCTCACTACTGAGGAGCAAATTCAACTCTATACCATAAGTTCTTCACTTACAGGACCTTAATATATAATGGCAAATTTGGCAATCTGATCCAACAATATATATGTACATACATATGTCACATATAATACGTATACATGTGTGTATATTTATGGAAGCACATACAGATACACACAAATATACATTCGTATATGGAACACACTCCACATATATTAACATATCTACTGTTGAATCTTGTCACAAAGACTTTTGTATGTGAAAAACTCAAGACAAAAAATCAGGCTGGTATAAGAAAATGTGAAGTGAATTTTATACTACACATCCTATCTATATCCAATTTATGGTACTTAACAAATTTTGAAATCTCATATGGATGCAAGATTATTCAAGTTATCAAACAAACTAAACCAAAAAGAACAATGTAAATAACATTATGTTGGCATTTAAACTGCAATTTTATTCTTTCCTTACGAAAACCAAAACCTTCACAAAGTCATGAATGAGATTTGTTCAATACTGAAACAAGGCCTTTCTGTATGTATGAATTTCATAAGTTCCTTCACTCCAAATTAATCTATTCTTTATATATAAAAAAAGAAAAAAAAAAAATCCCCAACATCCATTATCTTGGTATCAACCAAACTGATATCGAAAGCAACCTAAAATAAAATGAAGGGGAGAGGGGTGGGAAGGAAAGTGACAACCATTCTTCAAGTGAAGTTTTGATGCTTCAACATGTGATACTTTAAGGCATAACTCCGAGATGCACGGTATGGACATAAGGAGCATGAGTAGGAGCCTCCTACATGATTTAAACTTTTATACAAGAGCTGGTTCTTTGCTGCAAGGCTTTGGGAGTGACTGTTGTAAACTGAAAGTGAGTTCTCTCTGGTATGAGTGAACAAGTGCTCAGTCATGTTGCACTTCAGAGATGAAGAATAATTGCAGTAGGGACATTGGTGAACCTTGTCGAGGGCTCCTCTCACGTAGCTCCTCGAACCAACATCTCTGTTTAGCTCCACCTGCCGGTAATGCCATCTTGATTACTAAGTCAAACTAGGGATCCATTCGTAGCCAAAAGGCTCTGTCAACAGACTATTGTATTCTATTTCCTAAATGACATTTAGTTTACATTACTGTTCCATTAGAAACACAATCTTCATTTTAAAAGTGCCTTGAAAAGTAAAATTATTTCTATAGTCAGTTACTGATAAATGATCTTGATGACAAAATTCCTAAAAATAATAATAATAAATAAATAAATAAAATAAAATAAAATAAAAATATCATTTCTGCATCTCTTGCATAATGGTCAAGGCATCAATTACAAGAATATACAAAATATCTGGACTAGTATTTGTATAGGATGAAAAATCATCGGGAAAATGTGAAGTCATCAATAATTTTTTAAAGCAATTTATCAAGACCAGTGTTTGATCATATTGGTCAAAGGGGAAAAGATTTTTCTATAAAAAAAAGGACCATGCATATCTGGTCACCATGGGTTTAATAACAAATTAAAAATAAAATCTTATGCTAATACAAATCCTCCTCTTAATATATATAATTCAAAGGGTAAACTGACCATCACTATGTATCCACTTAGAAGGAAATGAAAATCAATTACATTTCTTGAAACATTACCAAATACTAAGTGTACTCTAATACAAAATCTAATATCTGGATTTTTAAAAAGGTGAAGCCACCAATTCTAGTGCAAATAAATATCAAATATTTACACAATTTGTAATTTAACAGCCCTTTCTTTATAAAAATGGACCAAAGAAGGGGGAAGACAATGGGAAATAATAAACAAGTTACTTTTTATGTCTTGCCATATGGCATAACAATGCTGACCTTTGTGAAGCTCGATATGGGCACTGTGTGCATGAATATGGTTTTTCCCCAGTGTGGATTCTGATATGATTATTCATGGTATTTTTGGTGGATGATCTGAATGGGCAATATGGACAAGAGAAGGGTTTCTCTCCAGTGTGGATACGTATGTGCTGATGCAATTTGTCCTTTTTAGTTGCACAATATGAACAATAGGGACAAGTAAATGGCCTTTCTCCGGTATGAGTACGCAGATGCTGTATCAATTTGTCTTTTGTGGTTGCACTATAGGGACAGTCTTGACAGGTAAATGGTTTCTCTCCTGTATGAGTACGAATATGTTTTGTCATGTGATCTTTCCTATCTGTGGAATATGTGCAGTAGGGACACTTGTGCACCTTGCCGTCAGCTCCTCTGCTGCTATTCTTCGAACCATCACTTCCCACCTGTCGGGAATGCCTATCTTAATTATTGTTATCATTCAAGTTAACATAAACTACCTTAATTCTGAGGGAAAGTAACTTACAATAAGCACTATATCTGTTACTTAAGTACTGAGAGAATTTACCACTCACACGAAATTCCCTTCCAGTCTTGACAAGAACAGAATTAGCGACAATAGCATACCTTGCAAAAATATGTAATGCTCTTGAAGTCACATGTTATAAGCATTATCAAAAATCATTCCTATGTAACCCACATTCATAAAGCATCCTTCTAAAAAGTTTCATTTGGAGCTTCATACAAAAAAAGCCATTAAGTAGAAGCACCACCTCTATTTCTAATTCAAACTAGACATTTGATATCAAGTCACAGACACTAGAAGTCTGACATCAAAATACTATAACTTACAAAATTTGTACCAACTGCAATAGCTATGTAATACGTATTTCTTAGTATTTAGCATGGCTTCAAAATACTTGAAACTTTGTTATTAGTAATTTCTGAATTACAAAATTCTAGAAAAAAAAAATCTTGTGAAGTGTCCAGCACATTTTAAAATAGCACTGGCATAAGAAAGCTAAGACCAACCAGAAAATGTGATCATCCTACATGACATAAGATGTCTAGTGTGATTCTGAATATATTGTCATATGACAAATTACATACTTACTATTTAGGCCAAAAAAGGCTAAGAAATATTTATAAAATGCATCTCCATTCACACCCAATAAACTTTACCAAGAGGTTTTATTCTAAGATACAAAAATTTATCTAAATAATACTGATATTTATTAGAAATGATAATTTTAGGGAAGCTCTATTTCTTCTCTGCCATTAAACTTATTGATCTGGGTACATCTAAAAAATTCAAATTTTGCCAGAGCACTAATCTTTTAGATCAGCATGGACTTTCATATGGTTGTTTAATGTTGCTTTTGTGGTTGACCGATATGGACAATGTGGACATGGGAATGGCTTTTCTCCGGTATGGATGCGAATGTGCTGCCTTAACTTGTCTTTCTTTGTGGCAGAGTAAGAGCAGTAAGGACATGAAAATGGTCTCTCTCCAGTATGGGTGCGCAGATGCTGTATCAGTTTATCTTTTGTTGTGGCACTGTAAGTACAGTATTGACAGGTAAAGGGTTTCTCTCCAGTGTGAGTTCGAATATGCTTTGTCATGTGGTCTTTCCTATCAGTGGCATATTTGCAGTACGGACACTGGTGCACCTTGGTGACGGCTCCTCTCCCTCCGTTCCTCGAGTCATCATTGTTCTCTTCCACCTGTCGGGAATGCCTAACTTAATTATTGTCATTACTCAAATTCCAAACTACTGCCTTAACAATAAAAAAAATTTGGAGTTATATAGTACAAACTAGACTTCAACTCTACTAAGGAAGCAATTACTCAAGCCAAAATACGGGATACATTAATTTTTCATGCATTTAGCAAATACAATTTTCTTACAGCTTATGGCTAAGATAGCAATATTTACTCTTACTCTACATAACTTATCATTTTTTCTTTTTATTCAAGTAATGATGCTCTAAAAAGATTAGCGACAGGACAGAGAAGGATACTCGTCTTTCCAACTAGTTGTGCACCAGTGGCGACTAAGATGGACCTTAATTCATAGACCCTATATAACTTTCTCAAAGCTTACTTCATGCTCTTGCTAAGAAAGAATCCATCATGTCCCTTCTTAATAAAACTAATGATACGTGATGACTATAAAGGGACTCTTTTATTAATAAAATGTTTCAAATAAATTATTAATACTAAATTAAACTATATTGTCCTCATACCAATGAATATATACAAACTTTAAAACTTACTTATGAAAACAAATGTAATATTTTAATCTTCTCTAAAGGAGACTACTTAAAAAGAAAGACAGATAAAAGGCCTCTACTAGGTGTGAACTTGAGCATGATTCTTTAAAGTAACCATAGAACAGCAGCGAAAAGGGCAATGTGGGCAAGCAAAAGGTTTTTCTCCAGTATGAGTTCTTATATGCTGCTTAAGTTTGTCTTTCTTTGTAGCACTGTATGAGCAATGAGGACAAGCAAATGGTTTTTCTCCTGTATGAGTTCTAATGTGTTGCATTAAATTTTCTTTAGTTGTTGCACTATATTGACAGTAAGAACAAGAAAAAGGTTTCTCTCCAGTGTGAACTCTTATATGCTTTGTCATATGGTCTTTCTTAACAGTGGAATATGTGCAGTAAGGACAGTGGTGCACCTTGCCGACAGCTCGCCTTCCGCTATTCCTCGTTCCCTCATAGTTCAGTCTCACCTGTCGGGAACGCCTCTCTTAGTTATTGTCATCAAACTTATATTATATTCTGAAGCAAATCAATATAACATCCCATCTAATTTCTTATTCTTATTCTTATTCTTAATTCTTAAATGTCTATGTATGATACTTCAGTCTACTTTACTATGTGATTAATGGATGACCATAGCTCTCATCAAGAAGAGCAAGTGTTTGTGTGTTGGTAACTCTACTTTTTGAGGAATTTGACTTCAGGAGGTAAGATGTCTTTTGAGCAATATGTAAGTGTATGATGAATGTAATAAAAGCTTAAACTAGAGGAAATCATCATGATATCATTACAATATAAAAATCCTTTGCTCCCTGCTTATATATGCCAGTACATAGAAAACAATAAGAAATCTAACTCTACAATAAACATGACAGGTTCATTCCTTCATACATCTCCATTTTTACTCCCTGAATCAAAATTCACAATTTTAATAGCTACGGTTCAAGCGTTCTTCCAAGAGACCCATGTATTAGTAGTCTATTCTATCCATTCTGTTTACACATAAAATGGCTTAAAAAGCAAATAACCACCAAGGATTTAATAACTAAGCCTGACTAAGGTCACCTGTCTACCCCAAACTGTTAATTATCTTCAAGCAAATTTTCATTTCTAATACTAGCATCATTAATACTGTCATTATTGTTACATTATCATTGCTGTAATGATATAAACCATAACAGTAATGAAAATGAAAACTTGCTCAAGAAAATTCAAGGAATAAAGCAAACAAGTGCAATCAACGAAGCCTTGTTAACAGACTTTTTGGTAACTACGCACTTGTGCTGTCATCTGTATGTAAACAATATTAACCCCTATGATCCAGAAGACACTATGGTCCCTGTCTTGTAAAATCTGTGTTGAAAGCCAGGTGACATGAATATGTCTTAATCGGGCAAAATGGCCAAGGATTGGGTGACATGAACATGCAAAGGCCTGGCTGATGGAAAAAACTCCCCATGAGTGCACTAACCTCTTGGAATGTGATTTGACTCATTTGGCACATAAGAGGGCTATAGCATTATTCCCATCAATTAAAAAATATGGAATGTAACGTACATAAGCCATGACTCGAAGAGCGCCGCCTCCAGGGAGGGTACCATTTCCATGCTGCGCATCGTATTCCTGGCCGCTGTGACAGGCGGCACAGGATATTTTACGGAAAATTGAAAATTACAAAAAATAAGATATGACACAAAGTTCCCTACTTTTTTTTCTTGCACTTGTGTTATTTACTACATAGAGAGATGATATCGAGTCTGTGCAAAAAAAATAAGATATTGCTGTCTGGATAAAGCAAATCAAAAGAAAAATATGAACATTGGAAAATGGCAAAAGATTACATAAAATAAGTTTGCAAAGGGGAGGCACAGAGTCTTGTCACCGCTCACAGGTGTTCGTGTGCACTACACACCCTGGATGTTGGCTACTTACAAACCCACTGCCAATATTTTCGGCACCATGATTTTTATGACACATCTGGATTCAACAAGTTACGTTAAAATCTAGGTGGACAGGGCCTCTAGCATCAAGAGCTTAATTTCAGGTATAATTTTCCACATTCATCAAAAAAAAAAAAAAAAAAAAGATCTGTGATAAAGCAAACCACTTC